GGCCGGCGGCGGCGGTGGGAGGAGAGAGAGGGTGAGGTGGCGGCGCGCGGTTGGGCGAGGGCGGCGGTGGGGTGACGTGGCGCGACGCCATTGGCCGGAGCGAGGTGGCCGGCGGACATGTCCGGCGGGGTCCGGACGTGTCCGGCTGCGGGAGGAGGACGAAGGCTAGGGTTTAGACCGGGATTTCGGGGAGGAAGACATATTTATAGGTAGAGGGAGCTAGGAGAGTCCAAATGAGGAGCGGTTTTCGGCCACGCGATCGTGATCGAACGACCGAGAGCATGGAGGGGAGTTAGATGGGCTTTGGGCCACTTTGGAAGGGGTGTTGGGCTGCAAACAAAAGAGTCCTTTGCGGTTACCCGGTTAACCGTTGGAGTACCAAATGACCTCCAAATGGCACGAAACTTGACAGGCGGTCTACCGGTGCTATACCAAGGCCACTTGGCAAACCTCGGTCCATTCCAAGAAAGTTTAACACCCGCACACGAAAAGAGACAAGAGGGGGATGCCGGAGGACATAGGAGCGCCGGATTGCAAAACGGACAACGGGGAAAAGGCTCGGATGCATGAGACGGACATGTATGCAAAATGAAATGCACATGATGTCATGACAAAATGCAACACGCAAGCAAATGACATGGCAATGACGGCGAATAACTGGCATACACCTGTCGCATCGGATCCGGGGCGTTACAACACTCCTCCACTAACAAGAGATCTCGTCCCGAGATCTTAGGACCGAGACTGAAGGAAAAAAATGGATGAGTAAGAACTCAAGAGAAGAAGCCAAGAATCGAGAGCACTCGAGAAGAAGAGAGGAACGATGAGAATGACGAGAATGAAAAGCACACGGAATCAGATAGACTATGAAATCACTCGTTCTAACCGGAGTGGCTAGAATGAGAAAAGAAACGAATAAGACTGAAAGAATTTAGGTAGCACTCCGGCTGAAAATGGGAGGATTAGAACGAACTTGAGAGGATGGAATGATACTTGATGAACTCTTGAAGAATGAATTAAATCATGAAGAACCACCATGAAGAACTCCGGTGACGAAAAGGATGATGAGATAGAAATGAAGGATGAAAGAATAAGATGAACCTTGCAGTGATTTAGATGGAGGTTCCGACGAAATGTCCAAGGAAATTTGAGCTCCGGAGAAGAAGAGATGACAACACTTGGAACTAGAAATTTATTCATGAAGAACACTATGCGTAGATTCGCTTTTGCCATTGTTGATCACGTCCTTCTCTCTGTGCTATGAAGCATATACATATTGGTTCTTAGGATTCATTTTAGTTATGCTAAACTTATGTCCTTCTGACAACAATTTAGTGATTATTCAGAAGGGACGCTGCATATTCCTAGATGCAAAGGATCACTAGGTGTGGTCTGACTTGGCCTTTGTACTTCACTTCACTCCAGATTAGAGACTGTTAATGAGAAGTTAGTTGGTGTAGTTTGTGATCAAACTTGGTGCCTGGTATTTTAAATCTAATTGCATTACTCAGTGGGTAGGCTTGGTTTGCCTGAAGCTTGATGTTCTCACCTACATTTTTTTCTACTTTCATTGGTATTGCAAAGCCTGCATTAATGTCTGTAGTAGTATAGCCTTTCTTATATAGATTTTCATAACACTGAGATTTTTTTTGACGGATAACACTGGGATTTTAGATAGCCTTTTTCTGTAGAATTCTCAAACTGTTCTTAATTCTGCCGCCCTATCTACTTGGATCTCACATCGCTTGTTCTGAAGGAGCTGTGTGTTCCCTGTCGTAGTTGCCGAAATTTAAATTTGCTTCAACCATTTTAACCATGTCCAGCAAAATAGATGTTACATGCTTGGAAAAGGCTACTTAGGCTTGATGCTAAGCTCTTCTCAGGGTAAAAATGTGTTAACTTTTGGGTTGTTTGGCGCTGCAAACTCTTAATTCAGTTAACTGTGCACCATCCTGGACTCATCAGTACTTACAGCTGAGAATAGTAGAGATTAGTTAACCTATAGCTGGACTACAGTATCTCATTATTATGTCATGTTGTAATCATTCTGTTCTTGCATACAAGTTGGCTTTGAGATGATTGATGCTATTGCAGAAGCTGAGAGGATATCTGTCAGCACTAAGCAATTCAAAGTGACGGTTGGGAAAGGTAATTTCCACACAAAGTTTGGTTATTTACAAAAGTGCAGTTGTGCTATAGTTACACATTTGAGATATAATTTATAACTGATCACTGCAACGAGATAAACGCTGACCTGCTCAAATAATGGCTAGCTCTATTTTTGAATTACATATAGGTTGTTCAGTCGGTGTTATTGTTTTTGAGTATTTTACTTCTTGTTTGTCTGACAGATTAACCAAATAAGGTTTGTTGGTTAAGACTTGGTATCCATCATTTTGCTCCCATAGCACACTTTCCTCTCAGCACAACTAACTGTTCCCATCCTTGTTTATTCAGTAGTTTTTTGTTCTTATTTTAATAATTGTTTTTGTTCTACCTTAACATGTGATAAGTGCTTCAGTATGAGATGTCATTCACCATCTGAAAGAAAGCCGTGATTTCAAGAATCGGTGTGCCAGGCGATCACTTCCTAAATTCTTTTGTCCTCAAGGTGACGAATCTTCGCTCAGCAAGGAAGAGCAACAAGAGGTGCTTTACTTATATATTGCACTGTACTGGTAACATTTTGTTGTCTTTTTCCGCAAACAAAACATTTTGTTCTCTTAAAATAAATGGCCTGCTATTGGAAGTTTATTCATTTAGCCTGCATGTGTGGTCTCATATTTTTGTTGTTGTGGACTCTGGCTCACGTACTCTCCAATTTCTGGCCATTTGATCTTATGCCCTGGGCGTCATTGGCCGTCAGATCGTTATTTAATTTACTATGTCAGCCGAATGTTATAAGGAGACTATACTCCCGAAATTCTTTTGGAGTTTGCTGGTTCATTGGGCCGTTGTCAACCAACCCATTAGGTAAATACGTCAAACCTCTACGATCACACGGGACTGGTCCGTCCTATTGGCATTACATGGAACCGAAGCGCCACCATTTCTTTGCAGTTAATCTGTCGTTGCTAGAGGATATTAATGGGGTGGGAGTGCGCCAAGCCGTTCCAACCGGTGCCCTCCTGGTAAAAAAATGTGCTGGACAGACAGAACCAGACTGGTTGCTCGTCCCAACTGGTGCCCTCCTGGTAAAAAAATATGCTGGACAGACAACCAGACCGGTTGCTTCGAGAGAAAACGGTAAGGACATCCCTCGCTGTGAGGGAGATGGGAGCATGTGCAGCGAGGAGATGCGGATGTGCTGTTACTTACATGGTTACACCAATAATTTTTTCACTAATTACCTACCATTCTATTGTAAAATAGACGGGCGCGGCAACGCGCGCCTTTAATGTTCTAGTCTACTACAAGATAACACATCACCCAAGCCAATAGATCAAAGTAAACGGGCGATCCAGAGTCGTTTGGGATCATCTTAAAAGTTCTCTAATCATTCCGAATCACATTACGGGCATCTTCCTTACAGGATATAATCAGAAGTCATCCTGCAGCGAGTGAGATCGAGCTACTAAAACGTACCATAGATTCATTACACAACAAAGATAATTAGAGTGCTTGCATCTTGTTGGAAACTACAACTACTAAATTAGCAAGGGTACGTAGATAGAACTTAAGAGGCCGCAACCAAATTAAAAGGACAAGACCATCTTGAGGGCCTGGAGACTAAGATATAAGTTATCTCTCCACGGAGACCCATTGCCTTGCCGATCATGTCAGATAAAGTGCTGTCTCAAGATCCCTCCTCCCCTTCAAACTCGATCTGCAGACTCAGCGCTTCCTCCCTGCATGGAGAAGAGAACACAACAAAAAATCACTGTCATCATCGTTGCTGTGGAAGAAAAATATCCGTGCGGTGATCCACATGAATAACAAATCTCTGATGGAACCTCACCAAGGAAACAGATGACGCCCATGGGGTAGACTCCTCGCCGTTGGAACCGCTGCCAACATCAGATGGAAGCAAACCTGCATAAACAGCAACTTACACACAGTCAAAACTAACAAGTATTTGATCCGCATAACGATTGTTGGGATTGTCACCAATATATGGATATTGCCAATAACTTAACTGGCATGGATGGTTAAAATAACTAATTTTGAGATATATAAATGCTTTTCATATCTACTTCCTCTGTCCCATATTGTAAGACAATTTTTAACACTACACTAGTGTCAAAAAACGTCTTACATTATGGGACGGAGGAAGTAGTTTGAAACATAATAGCTGCATAGAAAAATGAAAACCAAAGCACATAAAGAATCAATCCATGTGTCCCTTAGCCAAATCTTTGATGGCATGGTGACCCATGCTCCGGAAAACCTGTTTGTTTGAAATTAACTGGCAGCACTATTCAATACATGCAAAGACCAACTGGGCGATAGATGAACAAGATAAATGAGATAGTTACAGTGCCATAAGAAAGACAAACATTTACAGTCCACCACCATCCCAATTGATAACAACCAACCAAGAGAATATACATTGTGATCACTACAAGTAGTACCTGGAATACTGAAACTTAACAGCCTACAAGATTGGGACCCTAAAGAACAAACGCCTAAACCTCTTCTTAATGGATCAACCTAAACCATATGAGCAATAGCTATATACTATTGCCATTTACTATGCATCATCCAATTCAAAAACAGAGTTATACAAGAGTGCATATTCAACTTCCGGATCTGTTGCAAAATGTCCATGCTGCTGGATGTGTGTGCCAATGCAGATTGAGGTAACTTTAATTAAATCTTGTTTGCAAAACAGATAACAGTGAATATTTTGGGATTTTTACGTAATAATAATGTAGACAATAAACAAAGGTATTTTCTCTCTCTTTTTAGGCACATGCAGGCAATCTTGCTTGCTTACTAGAAAATCAATCATAGATGAATACGAGTAATATATGTCTTTCTCAGAACAATTTCAATTGGAAGCAAACAGAGGATAGGAGCCGAATAAGCATTAACTGTGCTATCTAGTACCGACTAATTTAAACAGATGAACAAGATATTTGCCTGCCATAAAGAAAACAAAATAGAAAAATACAAGCAAATACCCCCTCCATCCCATAATATAAGAGCGTTTTTGGCACTAGAAAACACTCTTATATTATGGCACGGAGGGAGTATTACAGAAGGATGAGCTGTAGAATTATTCTTAGTTCAGATAAAGGACTGCATCATAATCATACATGAGCAACAACACAGCAACTTAGCACATGTGAATGCTAGTCCCACAGATCGACTTCGATTGAATTTAGCCAAGTTAGTTCAAACCTATAGCAAGATGGGGGAGCAACTGAAATTTGATAGCTTATTCCAATGCAAATAACATGCAGTGTTCAACAGCATAGAGGGTAGAAACCATGGAGGTGTGATGGGTGGTTACCTGGGGAAAGCGCGATCGGCAGCTCCAATGCGCGGACGGAGAAACAGTTGGGGGGCTTCCCTGACGGTGGCACCACCATCTCGTACACGCCGCACTCCACAACCCTCTTGGCGCGCAGGTCCACGCCGAAGAGGTGCTCCTCCAGGAAGAAGTAGAGCACGTCCGGATTCATGGGGTGGACGAGCGCGAACGTGGGGTTCTTCTCCGTCAGGCCGGCAGCCTTGTAGCTGTCGTCGGCCCAGATCTCCTGAAAGCTCACCTTGTACTCCAGCACCCACTCCTTGGCCTCCGGATCACTCAGCGTCCACATGCTGACCGTCATGGGAGCCTCGTCGTTGCTGCGAGAGTTCCACTCCACGCAACGGAACTTGCCAGCGCTCACCTGCACGAACCGGCGGTGGGCCACCGATCTCCCGGCGCAGTGGGCGCACGAGGCACGAGGCAGATGGCAGTCGCTTTCTGGGAGCGGGATGATGTCCAGCACCGGCGCATCCGCGAAGGGGTTGCAGAAGATGAGCCCCCCGGCGAGATCCACCCACCAGAGCTTGCCGTCGTGGGCGACGACGCCGTCTCTGCCCCAAATCCAGCGCCCCAGGGGGTTGTGGACCGGCTTCGACACCCACTCGCCGGTGTCGGACGAGAAGCAGAGGAGCGTAGCGTGTTCGTCTGCAAACATGTAGCGGAACTCGACGACCATGTAGCGCAGGGCGCCGCCTCCGGCTCCGGGGGCAGCGAGGACGCCGAGGTTCAGCGCGTTGATCTCCGGAGGTAGCCCGCTAGGGTCGCGGCCGGGTTGCGGGAGGCGGAAGGCGGTGGCGGAGGCGACGTCGCAGACGAAGTAGGTCGGCGGGTGGCGCGTGATGTAGGTGACAGCGGGGACCAGCACGCCGTTGCGGAGGGTCGGCGGGGGAGTTAGAGAGTGAGTGGGAGGGGCTGGCGGGGCGCGGAGGAGGAGGAGGCCGGCGGCAGGGTCCGCGGTGACCACCCAGGGGCAGGCGCCGCTGGTGGGGTCGGCCTGGACGGGGGACACGCGCCGGGGCACGGTGAGGACGGAGACGCGCGGCGGCGCGGCGAGCTCGAGGGAGAGGTCCGCGTCCTGGTGCTCCGACACGCGCGTCTCGGCGCCGAGGATGATCCACGCCGGCGGAGCCATTTTGGCAGGAGAGCGGAGCGAAAGCAAGCGGGGAAGGGTGGAGCAGTGCAAATGCCCGTCAAGGATGCGAAATACTCCCTCCGATTCTTTTATATAAGGTGTATTTGTTTTTTTGAAAAGTCAAATGAGTGCAAGTTTGACCGAGTTTTTAGAAAAATATATCAACATTCACAATACGAAATTTATATCATTTCATCCATCATGAGAACTAGTTTCATATTTTATCTACTAGGCATTGCAGATATTGATATTTTATTCCATAATCTTGGTCAAACATTCACATGGTTGACTTGCACAGAAACCGATATACCTTATATTCTGAAACGGAGGGAGTATTTGTGGGAGGGAGGGGAGTAGTAAGGGCGTGTACAATGGTTGATAATATAGTCTTATCTTAAATTTTGCATTAATTTAAAGATGATAAAAAAACATATCTACAATGGTCATCTTTTAGCCTTATCTTCAATAACTAGCTATTCCTAAAAATGTGATGAGACATATTGTGCTAAGAGATCATCTCTTGTCTTCTCTTAAATAAGAGAAGACAAGTCTTTTCTTACGATTTCTCTCTCCTCCATCTCATCATTTATCCTACATGGCATTGTTAAGATAGAACCATTGTACATGCCCTAAGTAGTAGTAGTAGGGTTTTAGCCGCCTGATTTCCAGGGGTTTAAAGGCCCCTTCTGCCCCGTGTTTTTCTCCCTCACGAGGAGAGGCGGAATGATGGGTTGGTTCGAGTTTGAATCGTTCAGCTCTTTCGTGGATTTCTGTCGTGGCTTGCAGCGGCACAGCTAGCAGGATGCTGCCAGGAGCTGGGTCGACGAGACCGGTCGTTGGACGGAGCTGGGTAGCCTTTACGCAACCGGCCTTTCGCAGTTGCCGTTTCGGTGATTGCGGGGCATTGCCAGGCGTGCTGCCGCACCGCAGCTTTGATCCACGCAGGCGTGGTGAGAGAGGAGACGAGGGTTTGCATGGACACAAGATTCCCTCTCTCAAACTAAAGACTTTCATTTCATTTTCTTATATCATTTGAATGGCTCATAACTTTTGAACCAAAAAAACGTCTTCGAAACTATTTACATATTTGAATTTCTGGCCAAGAGACCTTTGAAACAAGACCCAACTTGGTTGGAGGCGACTCTCCCTTTTCTTTTGCCTTCTTCTGAAAGTAAGGCTCTCTCATGTTAGGAGGCAGAGTAGCCTTCTTCATTATTGCTTCGACCATGCGGATTGCTTTCGATTCCCTAGTATGTTTTACAAAACCTTTGTCTGGTATCTGCAAAAACTCGGAAAAATCGTTCAAGCTTCGTAAAAGCAGGGTAAGTTCCAATATTAAGTTCATGACGAAGATTTCTCATCTTCGCTAATTTAGAGAAGAATTTAATATTATCATAACCGGGATCAATCTTCTTCTTCTTCTTCTTTGAGCATAGGAACCAACTTTCAGCATTTTGTCGCATCCTATTCAGCAAACCCCAAGCTTGAGAAATATTAGTCCCCAAAAAGGATCTTTGGGAAGCAATGACTAATGCATGCTTGCTTTGTGAATCAAGTTGCCTATCAAAGAAGTTTTTTTTCTCCAATACTCCTGGGAGCGTATCATTGCATTAATAGATAGGTGAGTTACATAGTTAGAGTGCTGCCGGCTCTTACACTAGGAGGCGTGTCAGGGGCACTCAAGAGAAAGAGGGGGGGGTTTGCTCAAACCCACTACAATAATGTTTCGTCATTACAACTTTTAGCCCTCTGGCACCGGCGTTCGGCCAAGCGCGCACGTCGTCTTGGATCGAGGAGAATATGTAGCTAATCAACGGTTATCTCTGATCGAAGATGCATGCGTTGCGGTGCTTCCAACTGGCCCATGCAACCAGTGGGACGATTGATGCAAGTGCTTTGCGGAGCGAAGAGGGGGCGGAGATGGTTGCGTCCTGCCACCAATCATAGAGAGTGAGGTTCACAATCAAGTAATTAGAGTAATAATGTTCAGGACACTCACATAGTATATTCCGGTACCTTTTATAAGAATCAACCAAACGCTCACTTGAACGTTGCCCAAAGCCACCAATCTTTCTTCTTATACTGTAGAATTTTCCTTGAGAATCAAAATAAGCGAAGAACACAGATGATAACTGCCACCAGTTATTCAAGGTACCCGCAGGCTATTGTAGTAGCAATTTAGCGGTTCCTTCTCAGGAGTACTAGGCAACAATTTTGCTTTAATTTCTTCATGAGTCAAATCCTACAACTGAAATGTATCACATGTAATTTCAAATTCTTTAATATGTAAATATGGGCTGTCGGTTCCATCACCTCGGAATGGATTTTTTTAGCATATCACGCAACCGAGGGTTTATCTCAAATGTTTTACCGATCAGGTCAGGTCCCATGGATACATAATTTTCTCCTCGAGCGAGGCCCACAATAAACTCCATACCCACCTGGTAAATTTGTTCTTATAAGACCATGGTTGCCTGTTGTTGGAAATATGCCCTAGAGGTAATAATACTATGTCATTATATTTCTATATTCATAATTGAGAGTTTATATTTCATGCTATAACTGCAATGATCCTAGAATATGTGATTCAGTGGAAAACTCATATGCACGTGTGGAATAATAAACGATAAACAAATAGGTTCCTAGTCTTTCCTCTAAGACTGACTCAAGTGTTGTTGGTGATCATGTTTTCCGGATCTTACGATATCGTTAAGTGTAACGATAATCCTAAAACAACATTGAGAGTATGACTCTAGAAGAACGATCATATTGAATCGACCCAAACTTGGTTGTTATGCTTTGAGATAATATCATCTGAAATCAACTGTTATAACACAGATGTTAACATGTGTTTTAGTTCCTCAAACCATGAGAGTATCACAGTCACTTCCTACCGTACGGTGTACTTTGGGGTTGCTCAAGCGTCATCTGAAACATGGTGATCATAACGACAACTTACAGGTCCATCGGAAAATTTGACAAGGGGATGAATAGCTCAAGAGTGGGATTTGCCCCTCCGGTGATGGAGAGATATTCTTAGGGGCCTCCCGGTGTGACAGCATCCATCATCATCTTCCCAGACACAGGTGACTACGCCACAGGGATATCGGAACACTTGAACGAGAAAGAAGAAACAACCAATAACAAGAATGGCGGTATAGTGAGCATGTGCATAATTCGGGAGGATACCGACACACCTCGGGTTTTGTAAAGTATCACGAAGTAAAGGGAACATCACATCACTAGTAGAAAACGGAGCTATATTACCGGTTCGTAGGGGCCTTTAGTGCTGGTTTGGCAACCGACACTAAAGTGTGGCGGACTAAAGGTCTCCCCTTTAGTCCCGGTTCAGCACGAACCGGCACTAAAGGGCCACCACGTGGCAGGAGCAAGTTCGGGGGCGGGAAGACCTTTAGTACCGGTTTGTACCACCAATCGGTACTAAAAGGTTTAGGGGTTTTGGTTTTATTATTTATTTTCCCTTTAATTTTCTGTTTTCCATTTAATTTAGAGATTGTTTTCCATTTATTTCCCTCTCATAAATTATATTATAACTCATCATCGTCGTTATATTAATATAAAACTCTTGCATCTCATATCATCACCAACAACAACACTAGCTAATAATCATCATATATATGTAGTCATTACCACTATTTTAATCATCATTATGTAATCACCACCAACACTATCTTAAAGAAGAAACAATCACTTGTACAAAAATAAAGATATCATCGAGTTCAACATGGTCATGAGATTATTATAAGCGTTCATAACTAAGACCACAAAAGCATATCACTAATAATTAAGTTCAGGATGAAGAACACGGACATGAGACGAAGTACTAAGAGCAGGAACTATCTAATCACTCCTGCTGCTCTCTCTCTCTCAGGTAAAATGGCATAGAACATGTGTAGCTCTCCTGATTCATCATATTGGAGTGAAAGTGTGTTATATAGACTAGAGGGGGGGGTGAATAGGCGATTTTTATGAATTCTTCACTAAGGAATTTGCTGGTGAGGAAATTCCTTAGCAAAGAACTACTTGCAGCAGAATAAGTACTCAAAAGTAAACAGAACAGAACACTAGCATAGTCATCATGATGAAATGAAGATAAACACAGAGTACATAAAGCGTAAACACAGGATAGCACAGGATAAAGGCGGACAGACTAAAGAAATTGAACTGGGGAAATTGAGAAAGTCTTCAGTCAAAGTCTTCAAACAGATATGAACAAGCACACAACAACTGAAATGAGGAAATGAAAGAGTTGAGGAAATAGAACCAGTAAGCTTGGTGAAGACAATTATTTGGTAGACCAGTTCCAAACCTTCACAGACTAGGTCACTCGGCGATCCACAAGGTCCGGACACACAGTTCTCACCGTATTCTCCTTGAGCTAAGGTCACTCGCCCAATCACTCGTGGTAAGTCTTCAGGTGACTTCCAAACCTTCACAGACTAGGTCACTCAATGATCCACAATTCCTCTTGGATGCTCTAGACCATGACGCCTAACCGTCTGGAAGAAGCACAGTCTTCAAAGCTAACAAGTGTCGGATCCACGCAGGATCAATCTCTTTAGTGATGCTCAATCAGTTTGGGTTTGTAGGTGTATTTGGGTTTGGGTTTTCCTCACTTGATGATTTTTGCTCAAAGTCCTCGGAGGATGGGATGCTCTCAAATGACAAGTGTCAGTTTCTCTTGGAGCAGCCAACCAGCTAGTGGTTGTAGGGGGCGGATATTTATAGCCTAGGGAGCAGCCCGACATGATAAGGCATAAATGCCCTTCAATGATATGACCGCTAGGTGGGTAGATATTTTGGGACAGCTAACGCATAGCACAGCAACAATCGGAATTTTTGACTCTCAAATTCCCCAGGGCTAACATGTTCCTCACTATGTAGGCAATCCGCACTAGCGAATTCCTAACTCCTCAGTCAGAACAAATTCCTCAGAGACCAGAAAAACTTCGTCTCTGTCACTGAAGAATATGACTGAA